GTTTGCAGGGAATGTCCAAAACAGGCACAGATCAACACTTAATGGCACATACTGCCTCTGCTCAGACAAAATACCAGCACGCTACCAGTTTCTCATGGAGACAACTCTTTTTCACTATCTGCTGTCAAGTCTAGCCATGCAAGTGGAGACCATCATACCCTCTGCTTTCCATCCCTGATAAATGTGCTTTACTTTTGAATTCTGAGCGCACTGCGCCAAGGCATCTCTGAGCAGATGCTTTTCTCCCCCTGAGTCTGGGCCAAGGGACAGGGAGGACATGAAGTGGCCATTGGCACCAACTCATACCCAGACCGCTCTGTCATGAAACAAAGCCCAGCAATCCCTCTTTGCCAATGCTTCAAAGTGGGATGCTCCACACCTGCTTGAGATGCTTCTCTTCTTGGCCTGTTGATCCAGTTCAACCTCATCTCTCAAGTTTCTTCCTTCTCAATGTATTTTTGAGTTATCCATGAGGAATATGCCTGTTTGCCAAGGCCTCTTGTGTCCAGTGGATCCTGGTGGATGGAGCCAGTCATCAGGGTTCCTGTGTACATGGAGTGTCACCTAAACACATCTCAGAGGGAGCACAACTGCAGCCTCTCCTCCTTTCAGTGGTGCTGCTGCTGGAAGCAAATGGTTCCTGGAACAAGCCTTGATAGGAGGCAGCAAGTACATGAGGCCTAGTAGTAGAGGAACCACGTGTTTGAGTTTCCTACTCCAGGCACAAGGTTTGCCAGGTCTGACTCATCACCGAGGCATGCCGGGGAGAGAGAGGGACCCAGCTCATTTCCTCTGCATTTTATTTGTCCTTGCATGTGTTGCGAAGCATAGAAGCATTGAGAGACAGAGGAGCTGCATATGAGGACAGCAAGTAGTGGGAGGAGAGGAGATGGAAAAAGGCAGAAACTTGGAGAAGCCTTGCTTTCATGCACTTTCCCCTTTGTTTCTCCATTCTTGATGCTCACAGCTATGGTGCTGGTGGGGTGCACAGTAAGAAATTGTACAGCGTGCTGGAAGCCAGTGAGACAGGATCATGAGGCAGTTGTGGACAAATGAAAGTAGGTAGCGTTCACTACTAACATGGGAGACATAGTGTCTCCACATTCTGTTGTCCTCTCTAGATGCTAAACCAGACACGTTCTTGACTGCCATAAAAATATCCTTGAGTATCTGGTCATTCCTATCCTCATCCAGGGTAGAAGGAAGTAAGGAGGGAACTGCCTTTCTGAGCCACAGGTTATTGGAAGCCATGTGTGTGTCAGTTGCCTACACTTCTGTGAAAACCTCTCATAAGAACAACCTGATAAGCTTTCAGGAGTGAAGGGACCCCAATGACATTTCTTTCTACTCCCCCAAGTAAGCTTCAAAACACGACACTTAACTCCCAGCCAACTCTGCTCCACGTGGTGACCACATTGTAAGGTGTATTATCCAGCACAAGAGACCTTGCTTTGGTGGTCATTGCAGGGCTGGCATCCCATCTCTGGGAGGGCCTCACAGTACTGAAGCCTTTCTGAGCAATGTTTCTTCTCCCAGCTTGCAACATCTCTCCTCAGTCCTGGCCATGGCACCAGCAACTGCAGCGTGGGAGGTAGCAGGCTTCAGTGTCAGACTGGAAAGACTTTCACAGCTTAGGTTAAATCACTGCTTTCAGAATTGATTTATAGGCATAATTATTCATAAAAACATGGCAGGATTTTCAGGCAGATGTATGGGTTTGCAATGGAAAGGGACAAGCACAGTCTCCCAGTCCCACCTTTCATATGGCCAGCCCTGCAGGGCTCTGGGACATGGTCCTGTATGTGGGAGGTCCTTCATGTAATACCAGTCAATATCCCAGTAAAGCAGAGGCAGAGGGGAAAGCTTTCGCTGCAGTATTGGGGTGCAAATCTCATCTGAGCAAAGCAGGGGCAGTAAAGGCCTTGCCCGTGCAAAGCCACATCAAGACCTGTAGCCTCACTGTCTTCCCCCAGAGCCACAGGTAGAACTGGTGTCTCCATAGTTCCTGGTGCTTCAGGTGCCTGTGCCAGGTGCACCCAGGGAGGGGAAAATCGCCCTAAATCTTTCTCAGCTTTTCTCTAAAATAATTAACAGGGTCAACACATGATTCTTGGGGACATACCTCTCCCACACATGCCTAAAGGACTTGAGGATTGTCCAAGAAGGAAGTAAAAAAAATCCAATGCTTTTAATCTCTTCCCTGATTTTAAAAAATAATGATTTTTAGAATTTCACGTGGAAAACTTATCCTAGGGTTAAAGATGTCTAAATATAACTTACGAGCTATTTCATAAGGTGGAGGAGTGCCTCCTCAGAAAAAAACCAGATATTTCTGGACAACTGATTTTGATGAAATGACACAGCACGAGCTGCAGCAGCCTTACAGCTCTCCATGTCAGCCTTGCCTTTCCCCACACGGTGCAGGGCTGGCTGCTTTGCCAGGAGATTACCCTAAACTTTTACCTCTACAAAGTTCCAGAGATGTTTTGATTCAGTTAATGCTAATTTTCCCACTGATTCAGTTGTAAGAGATAAATACATTTTTTAAAATGCTAAACCCATAAACTAAGTCAATTCTTTAAAGAAAAAAAACTTTATTCGTTAACACTAAATCATGCAGGTCTGGTTCTACTTCCACTCATAAAAATACCTTGGCACCGTGGTCAAAAAATTCATGTCAATTCTGTAACTTCTTTTTTTTTACAGCAATGCAAGGAGAAAATGGAAAGTGAACGTGTTGTATTAGAGAAAAGGCAGGCAAAATTTCAGACACCGTGTGTGCTGTTTACCTAGGGCAATGCACTGTGCAATTCCTGGCAGAAAACCGTGGTATTTTGTGGGATAGACTTCTCTTTCTCTGCAGCCAGACCCATTTTTGTAGCAGACCCCGAATTGCAATTTCAGTGTCAGAAATGTCAAAAGGTACGTGGCAATGGTTGCACTGCATGTTTCCAGTGACAGGCTGATGCTAATAAATAGTGATTGGAAATACTGTGGTTTAAAAATAGCTTTATGATCCCCAAAAGTTCGATAAATGTTACTTTAATTAATACGGTGCTTGTTTCTTATGCTGAACAGCTTTATTTGAATTTTGCTCGTATAATCATCAGTAAAGTTCTCACTCATTGACTGCGGTTTGATGAATAAGGTTATATAGGCTTGAATGATAAATTTCTCAGGCAACTTGCAGGAAAAATGGCCAGAAACGTCCCTGTTTGCTCACACACCTCGATGCCCCCAAAGGAAAGAAAAGCAATAGACGAATTACACCTTCAGCTCAAGTCTCCAGCTTACTGTGAAAAGTCTCATGTAAGATGGAGGGGGAAAATAAAATAAAAAATTTAAAAAAAAAAAAAAAAGAGCAAGCTGTGGCAAGCTGCTTCTCTCCCCCTCGCTTTCAGCCGTGGGACTGGGAACATCCTCTGGCCAGGGTGGGACAGGCCCTTCTCCTCCTCTTCCTCCTCCCATGGCACTCCCGGACCCGCAGCGCGGGGGGGACAGTGGCGGTCCCCGAGGGATGCTGGAGGGGTGAGGGACAGTGGCGGTCCCCGAGGGATGCAGGAGGGGTGAGGGACAGTGGCGGTCCCCGAGGGATGCTGGAGGGGTTGCTGCTGCCGGGGGCAGGTCTGGAGAGAGGAGGCAGATCCTCCTGACCCACCGCAAACCCGGGCAGCTCCTGCCTCCTTCCCGCCGCTGTTTTCCATTTCTAGTTTGGGTGTGATTTTTTTCCCCCCACTTAGTTGTATTTCCGCCACTATTTTAAGCGGTCGCTGGAACAGTTTCCCGTGTACAAAATGCCTGTTCCTGATTGATTTGATGATTTTTCTGGCACCGGAGAAGGCGGGCTGGGGCCGGGACGGTCGCCGGCCGAGCCCCGGTTGCCCGGCACCAGCCCGGGGGAGCCAGGCTTCCCTGCAGCCCAGGCTGGGAGCTGCGGGGAGGTTTCTTCTCTCCGAGGCAGAGTCCGAGCTTGTGGGAGAGGAGGATGGGAGGCAGGAGCTATTCCCCAAAATAATGTCCCTGGGACCAGCCCTACTGCGCCAGACGCGTCCAGCTCTCGGCTCGCAACCCCATCTGCCTCTGTCCCCTGCCCGGAGATCACCCGTGGATTTTCTGTCGCATCCCCGGGCTTGCGGCCACCCCTCGGGGCAGGTGAGGACAGACCTGCGCCCCGCGGAGTCTCCGCCGCCCGCCGCGGAGCCCCGACGGCCGCGGAGCCGCTGGCGGAGCCCAGAGGAGGGTCTGGCTACCTGTGCCCGTCATGGGGAGCCGGTCATCAGGGGAGACAAATCCTGCCCGCAGGACACTTGGGCTTTTTTTTTCTTATTTTTCTTTCTTCCTTTTTTTTTTCTTATTTTTCTTTCTTCCTTTTTTTTTTTTTTTTTTTTTTTTCCCAAAGGCAAAAGAAAACGAAACAAACCAGGTTCCAATTTCCAAAGAAGCGAGTAGCAGTCCAAGGGGAATTCTCGGTAAAGCCGATGCCCCGGGACCTGTGGAAGGGACGAGGAGGTCGGGGTGTCCAGCCCCGGGAAGGTCTGGGATGCCCGGCTCCGCGTCCGCGCTTCTGCAGCGCCGGGCACGGCGGGACCCTGCGCCGACCGGGCAGGCGGCCGCGGTAAGGAGCCTGCTCCCGCTTCTCCTCCGGTTTTTAGACGGCTCCGCGCCCCCAGGGTTACAGACACCGCCGGTGCCCGCCCGTGATCCCCCCTTCTCCGGGGGAAGCTGCCCCGGAGGGCCCGCTGCGGCGTGGGGTGCCCGGAGGGAACGGGGCCGGGCTCCCCGCCATCCCGGCGGGAGAAGCCCCCGGTGAGCCTTTCTTTGCTGCAGCCGAACGGCTTTCATTTAGTTTTTGCAGGAGGGGGAGTTTCGGAGGGGAGGCACCGAGTCTCCCCGGGGGAAGGCGGACGAGGGTCGGTCGGCCACGGCGCGACGGAGGGCAACCGGGGTCTCTCCTCCGTCCCATCCGCTTCCCCGGCCCGAGGCACGGGGCTCCCGGCGGCTCACCGAGAGTCCTGCTGCCTTCTGGGGGCCAGGCTGGGGGCCAGCAGGTCCCTGGAGGCCCCCGAGGGCAGGTTCCCGGGAGGGCACGGCGGTAGATCCTCCTTGCCTTGGAGCTCCCCGGAGGACACCACACAGTCTTGCTCGGGGTCATTGTTGGTGCCCGCCCCTCGTTTTTTGTCCTCTTCTTTCTTCCACTTCATCCGCCGGTTCTGGAACCAGATCTTGATGTGCCTCTCGGTCAAGTTCAACATGACGGCCAGCTCCACCCGCCGCGGCCTGGAGATGTACTTGTTGAAGAGAAACTCCTTCTCCAGCTCCAGCAGCTGCGCCCGGGTGTACGCCGTCCTCGTCCGCTTGTTCTCCTCCTGCTCCACCACGTAGGAACCCCCTGGAGAGAAGAGAGAGTCAGCCCCGGCCAGCCCGGCCATCCGCACCCCTGCGCGGCGCGGGGGACACGCGGGGGGAAGCGAGCGGGGTGAGGTGACAGCCTCGGGGAGCCCTACAGGCCCCGCACAGCGAGACCATGCTGTAGGCGGCTGTCAGGACTGCTGCTAATTTATTTTGTAACAATTTAATACTTTTAAAATAATAATTTGGTGGAGGTTTTCAGGGAAACCCCATCCATTAAGCCGGGCGAAACGCTCAGCCGCCACCATTTGTGTGTCGCCGAAAGCTCTGAAGGGTCCAAGACCTGGCAATTACCGAGATTCGCTTGAAAAGAAAAAGAAAAAGAAAAAAGAAAAAAAAAAAAGAAAAAGAAAAAAGAAAAAAGAAAAAGAAAAAGAAAAAGAAAAAGAAAAAGAAAAAGAAAAAGAAAAAGAAAAAGAAAAAGAAAAAGAAAAAGAAAAAGAAAAAGAAAAAGAAAAAGAAAAAGAAAAAGAAAAAGAAAAAGAAAAAGAAAAAGAAAAAGAAAAAGAAAAAGAAAAAGAAAAAGAAAAAGAAAAAGAAAAAGAAAAAGAAAAAGAAAAAGAAAAAGAAAAAGAAAAAGAAAAAGAAAAAGAAAAAGAGGAAAAGAAAAAGAAAAAGAAGGAAAGGACAATCTCAAGGAACCGCAAACGGAAGCAAAATGGAAAAAAAATATTTAAAAAAAGAACCAGCCAAACAAAAACCAAACCAAAGCAATAACGATGAAAAATGCTGGTTTTGTGTGACACGCACAAACCAAAATATTAAAATTAATATTTAAAAAAATAATATCTCACCTCCCCGGTAAAGGACCTGGAGGAGAAGCCACCCCGCCAGCGGAGGGCCCACCGACGGTGGGGTCCCGGGGAGGCGGCGCGGCGGAAAGCGGGAGGCTCTCCCCAAAGGGGCCTCGGATCGGGCCTCCGTCCTTCGCGCAAGCCGCAAAAAAAGTGGGGAGAAATTCCACGAAACAGGAGTTTGGGAGCCGCGCGGGATATCGCCACGGAGAAGCCCCGGGCCCACGGAGGCTTCGGCCCTTCCGCGGCTACCCGCGGGAGGCAACGGGACGGGCACCGACGGGGCTGCCAGGCCGGGAGCGGGACCGGGAGCGGGACCGCAGCCCCTCCGTTTCTCCAGGTTGGCGAAACTTTGGATTTTTCGTTCCTGTGAACAGCGACAGCAGCGGAATCGCCGTTCCCAGCGCGGCCGCCGCTGTCCTGCGTGGGCACCGGGGGCGCGGGTGGTACCGGCGGCGGCGGGGAGAGGGTCTGGGGGCGAGCACTGAAACTCAGAGCTGCTGTGGCCAGGGCAGGGACCCCAGCCCTTGGTGGCACGGCCAGCCAGACCGAAACAGCCATTTCAGACGGGAGCTACGCGGGCTCTCCCGCCGCTCAACCGTTCCCATGATTTCATATAAATAATGTTCATAAATGCAAACCTATGTATAGAAACCTATGTGTGCGCATATATATATATAAATTATATACTAAAATTATTTGCATATACATGAAATGTCTCTGTGTGCATATATAGATATAAATTATGTATTAAAAATATTTCTATATGCATAAAATGTGTATAAATATAAGCCTATATACACGCAGGTGGGTGTATGTACCTGAAATAATGGCTGTGTTATGGGAAGGTCAGGCGGGAGGCGGAACACGGGGGGTCTGTCGGAGGGGTCGCGGCCTCGCCGTGCCCTTCCCGCGGGACGGGGCGACCCTCGGGAGGTGACCGGTGGCCCCCGCGGGCGGCGAAGCCCGGAGCTGGGCACGGGGGGTGGCACCAGGCCGGGTTCGGCCGCGGCCTCTCTGGCAATAAAAAAATATCTCTCTCTTGGCACTAACAAGGAAGAATTCCCCACGGAATTCATGGAAGCCTGCATCCCGAAGGGTTTCGTAAAAAAAAATAATAAATACATCATTTATATCCTTTGCGATATAAATCGTGCAAATATCCCGGGGTTTGGGCACCAGCGCTGCGCAGCGCCCCGCGTAGCGCCGCGCCCCGTGTGCTGCCCGGGCGTGCGGCGTCCCCCCGTAACAGGAACACGCGTGCGTGTGCTCGCACGCACATCCCATGCACAGCACAGCCCTCGCCCGGACCTCCCGGGAGAGCCCGGCGGGGCAGGGAAGGGGGTTCGCCTTTTACGGGAAAAGTTTCGTTTTGCTGCCTGGGGTTTGCAATTCCTCAGGTATTGGAGACAGGGGAAAAAAGGGGATAGTTTGAGAGTTTGGCTTTATTTATTCCCCCCCATTTTCTCCCTTCCCCCCCCCCCCTTTTTTTTTTCCTTCCTCCAAATTCATTCAATACAGGGAAAACGATCTGATTTCCATTTCCCCCCTCCCCTGGCACAATCTCGGCCGCCGAGTCCGCGGCGCGGAGCCGCGCTCCTCTCCTCTGCGCGGCGGATGCGCCTCCCGGGGGGCTGGGGACCCTCCTCCGTCCTCCCCGTGCAATCCCCAAACTACTCCACCGTGATTTTAACACTCCGGTCCCTTTTTCAACTGTCTATTTGAACAAAGCCATTAATATAATATTTGCCGTATAGGCGTGACAAAGGCGCAGGACACGATAACATTGTGCGGGCAGGGGCAGAAATATTGTTGGGCAGCGGAACTTTCTGCCCAGATAGAGTTTCTTCCCCTCGCTGGCACCTCTGCTTCGTTTGTGCATTGTTTCCCCTGTCCCTGGGTTTTCACTTGGAAAAAAAAAAATAAATAAAAGTGCAATTACGGCTAAAACCCACCGGGGAAGCAGGAGCGGGGTGGGATGGAGGAGTCGGGAGGGGAGATGGGCTCTGCCGCCCGGGCGCCGGGGGGGCGCAGCGCAGAGGGGCAAGGAGGCTGCCCCGGGTTTTTCGGGTGCCGCTGCGCGCAGGGAGGCGGACAGCCGGGTTGTACCCTGCCCTTGCCGTCCTGCCCGCCGCTTCCCCGCCCGCTCCACCCCGCGGGTGTCTCCGCGCCCCCCCCCCACCTCCCCGGCCTCGCCCTGCGCGGAGCCCACCGCGCCCGCGGAACGGCAGCGCCGCTGAGACCCCTCGCTCTGCGGGGCGGCAGCGTTGGGGAGACGCTGCGCGTCGCCCCGACTTGGCGACAATTAGTTAATTGGTAAAAAATAATTCGTTAATAATTGCTTAGGGCTTGGGCAGCGCGGGGCGCGGCGAGCCCGCCGGCGGGGATCAGAGGCCGGATCCCACCCCGGGGTTCAACCCAAGGGTAGCGGCCCCACAGCTGCGGGTACTGGGGGGCTGGGGAGAAGGAGCGACCCAGGGAAGAGACCCTCCGGGACCGCGCCACCGCGCTACAGCCGAGCGGCGGGAGCGGGGCCGGTGCAGGGGAGAGTCCCTGCCCGCTGAGAGGGAGCGAAGCGGCGAGACAGCGGCAGAAGGAGGCGGCGGGTCTTACCGGTCCACTGTCCCTTCCAGGCGTGCGATTTGGTGGACTTCATCCAGGCGAAAGGCACCTGCACCCGGGGCTCCTCTATCGCCCCCGTGTCCGCCCCGTCTGCAAAAGGCAGCGCGTCCTGGTGGGGAGGAGGAAGATGAGGGTGGTGGTGGTGATGGAGGTGGGAGACCCCGGCATCCTCGGTGATGGGGGGCACCTCGTAAGGTGAAATGTCTGGCGGGCTGCCTTGCTCCAGAGCTCCTAAGGCGCCGGGGTAGGGAGGCTGCTGCTGCCTGCCCATGTACAGGCAGGCGGGGGGGCTGGGGCTGTAATCCTGCGCCGGGGCCCTCTGAAACGCACACGACTCCTTGTAGAGCTGCGCCGAGGCGTAATACTGCTCCTCGGCGTTCATGGCGAGCGGGGCCGGCGCGGAGGGGAGGGGAAAGGGGGGGTCTCTGGCAGCTTAGGGACACATAGGGCTGCTCTCACTCCCGGCCGCCCGGGATGCCTCTTTGACAGCTCGCCGCCCCGCCGGGCCCCGCCGCCCTGCCCGGCTCCCGCCGCCTCCCCATAGGCGCCGCTCCCCCCACGTGAGCCCTCCCGCAGCCCTCCTGGGCGGGGCGCGACCCATAAGAGGCCACTCGGGGTGGCCCCGGCCACGCAACCCCCTACTCCCCTTAACCGAGCGGGTCCCGGGACCCCCCGACCCCGCCGCTCCCTGCTTCGGGGCCTGAAGCCCCGCGGCGGGGGTTGCGCGGGGTCGGGGAGGGGGTCAGGGGATTGCCCCGACGTGCGGGGCGCTCCGGGAGGCACGGCCCCTGAACCCACGTTTTCCTCCCCCCCATCCCGCTTGCCCAGGGGCCGCTCATCCCCCAGCCCCCCTGAGGGGGAGGAAAACCCTCGGGGAACCGGGGCGGGGGGAGATACACGGCTCCTGGGAAGTGTTTGGCACCCGGGGGCTTTTGGCTGCGGGGGCATCTCGGCCACGGATGCGGGTGCCCAGGGGCGGTCAAGGTGCGCCGGGGGTCTCTCCCTCGGGGACATCGGTGTGCCGAGGCCCCAGGAGGAGGCAAGGACCGCCTTTCTGCCCTCTTCCCCCCCGTCTGGGGGGGGGGATGCGGCCGGCGGGGACCACAATGCTATCACCGGAGCGAGCGATAGGCAGCGGATTGTTTGCCCAAGGGGTAAATTTGGGAGCCTTCCCCGCGGCTTGGGCCGCAATGTGTTGACCCTCGGAGATAATCTGCTCCGAGCTGGTGCCGGTTGACTTGGTGACGAGGCTATGAGGAGGCGGAGAGCTGCCGAAAGGGACAAAGATCATTTCCCTGCCTCCCTGCGCTCGGCCCCGGCGGCCGCTCTGGCCGGCTCGGGGGCAGGCACGCTTCCTATTTGCCCGGTCCGCCTCCTCTCACCGACTCTTCCCCCGGCGCCTACCCCTGGCACCGGGGCTCCGGCCGCCGCCGTCGGGGCGCGGAGCCGCCGCTCGGTCTAGGGCGGCCACGGGGAGCGGCGCGGCGGGGCCCGGGTGCGGGGGCTGGGTTAGGCTAATCCCGGCTCGTCTCGGCGGGGGCGGGGGCGATGCATCCCCCGAGCCGGTGGGGCAGGAGGCTGCCGGTACCCCGCTCCTGCTCCCGGTTCCGCGGGATCATAAACCCGCCCAGTCCATTACACTTCAAATGAGTTTCCGCTCTTAACCCACGCGCGTCCCCCGTCTCTCGGAAAGCACACCGAGCCTTTGATTCAATATTGAGCCATTAAGCGATTGCTTTCCCAAGCCATTTAACAGCGGCTCTTATGGATAAATAAACAAAGGGGGCTGTAAACCAATTATAGTGCGGATAGTGAAAAAGTATTTTATTAGCGGGAATTACCGACAGACATCGCTGCTGCCGCTCGGGCTGCCCCCGCCTGGCGCCCTCCCCTCTCCATCCCCTGGCACGTCGGGCGGGTACGCACCCTGCCCGGGGCTTGCAGCCCGAGGGGATGCTCCGAGCGGGGGGGGTCTCCCTCAGCGGCGGTCCCCCACCCTTGCTCAGCACCCCGGTGCCCGCCGAGGTCGCTTGGAGGCACAGGTGTCCTTTGAGCCGGTGACTTCTTGTGGACCGACCCCAGCCCAGCACCCCCAACCCCTTCTCCTGGGCTGGGGGCTGCGGGCCGGGGGACCCCCCCCCCAGCTCTGCTCCCCGGAGCATTTACAGCCCCGGGTTTTCCGCGGCTGAACCGGTGCGGATAAACAAACGCGAGGCCATAAAACCCCGAGCAAATTGATTCATCTCCAGGCAGGACCATTACCCGGTGTCTTAATGCCGTCCTCTCTCCATAACGAAGGTTTCTAAATAGAGCAAACACTTTCCCCTCCAAAGCAAATGAATTTCGTATAATTTAGAGCTAATTCTCTTTCATTCTGCCTGCGTGAGCAGGCGATAAGGGCGCGCTTTGCCGTGCTAACGACACGGCGGAGAGCTGCGGTGCAGGAGAAGGGCCCCGCTGGGTATCCCGGCACTGGGCACCCCGGTATCACCGGGCCCGGGGCGCAGGGATGTCCGGCAGCCGGGGGGGGGGGCACGTCATGGGGAGCTGAGACCGGCCGGAGCCCGAGCCCAAAGATGACGGCTGCCTGCCTCCTCCTCCTCCTCCTGGGCTGCAGTCACTGAGATGTGAATATATCTGAAGGAATATATTCACAGATGTGAATACCTGAAGGGTGCCTATAGAAGAGCTGGGGAGGGACTCTTTGCCAGGAAGGGTAATGACAGGACAAGGGGAAACGGTTTTAAATTGGAAGAAAAAAGATTCAGATTAGATATCAGAAAGAAATTTTTTACTATGAGGGTGGTGAGACACTGGACCAGGTTGCCCAGAGAAGTTGTGGATGCCCCATCCCTGGAAGTGTTCAAGGCCAGGCTGGATGGGGCCTTGAGCAACCTGGTCTGGTGGGAGGTGTCCCTGCCCATGGCAGGGGGGGTGGAACTAGATGATCTTTGAGGTCCCTTCCAACCCAAACCATTCTATGATTCTATGTGGCTGAAGTACCCCTCCACTGTCGGAGGGGTCGGTCCCCAGGCAAACCCTCTGACCTCCGAGTGGGTCCCACCCCAGTTCCCACTTGGTGTGGGAAATGGGGATGATGGAGGAGGCAGGTGGGAGTGATGGGGCAGCCCCGCTTGTCCCCCAGAACCAGGCTCTGCAGACACCGTTGTGCAGACTCCAGGCAAAAGTCCCCCTAAATGTTGTCCCTGCACGTCGCCTTGGGCAGTCGCAGCAGTGTGCATGTGAGATACCACACTCAGGTCAACTCCCAAACTCCCAGAATTTTCTTCTCCGGGCATTTTCTGAGCCGTGTGGATTTTATAGTCCTCAATTCATTCCTCCACATCTTAAGTGTCCCCTGCAACCTTATGTAATTCTTGTGCCAAAATGTTCCCCAGGCTAGCAGCCACCGGGTGAGGCACTGCCACCCTTTGCTGACCTTGCACCTGGCTGCATTTATTCAGTGCTAATTCTCCAACTAGAAGAGCCTTGAGATAGGCAGACACAATGTAGGAAATGTAAAGGTTTGACCTCTTTAGCTCATATGTGGGCCTTTATGAGGCCAGCAGCACTTGAACACTTTGAATACTGAGCCTGGGGACGTCATTGTCATCCCCCAGATGGGAACTTCCCCTGCTCTGACTCCTCAGGTCTGGGGTTTTGTCAGGCTTGGAGTGACAAGAAACTTGGCCATCCTCATCCTACAGGTAACCATGCTAAGGAAAGACAGCTGACACAAACATGTTTATTCCCATTAATAAATGTACAACGGAGTTTTAACCACTGAAAATCTGAAAAGTAAAGGGACATATCGCACACCATAACAAATAAACAACGGGTTGGGTAGATTCTCCATCATCTTAAAGCCTGACTGGATGTATGTAGCAATTCAGCTGGAGATCCTGTACTTTACTTGTGGTAGGAAGTTTTTATGAACCATAGAACCCCCCAGAGATCTTGGGGATATCTATGGCTGGCCATGTTTAGATCACCCAGCTTCATCTGTGGAGCTGGAAAGCTCACACCTCCAGCTCTGCATTGCATCTGATGCATATGCATGGGACCATAACATAATGCAACCATAATGCAACATAATGCAACCATTAACACAGCTGTAGTTCTTGCTGAGAACAACCTCAACAGATCCAGGTTGTTTCCTCTAATGGCACTTTACTCCTTCGAGGAGACTTTTCCAGACTATTCAACACTCTCACTGAAGTTGTCTACTTGGAAGGTAAATCCTTACAGCAAGTCTGTTATTCCAAGAGGTTAAATAAAGATTAATCCATGAGTCTGTACCAGTAATGCTAAGCAGTGCAAGCATGTTTAAGTTATCTTCAACACAAGAGCAAGAAGTCAGATATTCCAGCACCAGTAACAAATGTTTTAGGTACTCAGCTGTTGCTATCCTACAGTAAGATCATGCAACAACCACACTGCAATACTTGACTTACTTACCATATTGTATTCAAGTGTCTTTTAAGGATTTGTTAAAGGTCTGATCATATTCTTCGAGCATCGTGTTTGCCTGACAGAGAAGAGGTTGCCTGCATGGTTAACTCTCAGTCCTTATTAGATGAAGCCTGAACTTTACAATATAATACAAATGCAGTTGAGTGCTCAGTCCTTCAGAAAGCCAGGACACATACCCAATGTGCTATCTGTGTGATTTTAAAAGGTATGCCAACATATAAAACATCCCTCTTGAAATTCGCTGGCACTTTCAATGATCTTACCTCAAACAGTTAATTTAGGGACTTAATCTGAGCTGCTGTGTTTCGAAAGTCTTGTCCATGTCTTCCCAGTAGTGCCTGACAGACATCGCTGCAGGCTGCTGAGCTCAATGAAATGTAAAACCATCTGGACACAGCAATTTTGTTGTTTTTTTTTTTTTCTCCCTAGGAAAGGTGGCAGGATCAATTTGTTTGCCTTTCAATGCAAATAGTTTGTGAACCTCTACTCAATTAGTTCCCTTTCCTGTTCTGACCTTTACGGTTAGACTCGATGATCTTAAAGATCTTCTCCAACCTAAATGGTTCTATGATTCTGTGACCGATGGCAGTTTCATCCTTCCTCCCACATCCCCGACTGTCTAACTTGAGTACAAAACAGCAAGTAGTTCAGTCACATGTCCTAATAGTGATCTGGTTTGATTTTCTATATCTGCACAATATTTTATGACTTCTTGGTGCTCAAGCGCTTTTCCGCAATCCATATTTTTACAGAAAAGAAGTATTGAAGGTGAGTTGAACATACTCAAAACAATCCCTTTTTCTCTCCCAGCCATGCTCAAACCAGCACAGCGAAACCGTATCCATGGGAAGGGCTGGCAGTGGGAGAAGGAGAAGTCGACTGGGAAACACAGCTTTCCCAGGGATTGATTTTTAACCCCCTGCCACGGCTATATCTAACAGAAAGGTAACCTTTCACAAAGCTGGTTAATAATCAATAACCATGTGAAAACAAAGCTGTCTTTCCCTCTTAGCACCAACGATAAAAACAAGAGCACGAACCATTCCACCTGCCTTAAAGTAACACTGGT